AGGCTGGTTACTGTGCTCTCACACAGCCCGAAGCAGGGAAGTGTTCAAGCTGGGGTGCCAAGTGTTAAGGACACCCAGGAGAAAGCAGTCACACACCCCTGGGGACCAGGAGCTTCTCCTGAGTCTGGCAAGACACAGCAGGCTCTATTTCGGGTATAGATCAGGGCCAGGGGGAATGGTTTCTTGCTTTTAGCGTAGCAGAGGCTGTTCCTGAGTGTGACCCACGGGACCTGCCTGTGCCCGGGGATTCAGCTGCATGTTGCATCAGCAGCCAGGGCCCGTGTTGGGTTAGGTGGGGTACCAGGGGGGTACCTGCCTTCCTGAGCTACCCTGTGCCCTGCTGGTAGGAGCACCGAGGGGTTGGCAGCACCGAAGACACGGCGCTGCAGAGAGCAGGAGGTGTCTGAGTCAGACCGGCTCAGTGGTCAGCTAGCAAAGGTGCCCTTCCCTATTGACAGGCTGGATCAATGGGCCAAGGCCAATTGTATGAGGTTCAACAAGGTCAAGTGCCAGGTCCTGCACTTTGGTCACAACAACCCCATGAAATGCTACAGGCTTGGGGAGGAGTGGCTGGAGAGCTGCTTGGCAGAGAGGGATCTGGGGATGCTGGTCGACAGCCAACTGAATATGAGCCAGCAGTGTGCCCAGGTGGCCAAGAAGGCCAACGGCATCCTGGCTTGTATCAGGAATTGTGTGGCCAGCAGGAGCAGGGCAGTGATCATGCCCCTGTACTCGATGCTCGTGAGGCTGCACCTCAGATACTGTGTTCAGTTTTGGGCCCCTCACTACAAGAAGGACATTGAGGGGCTGGAGCATGTCCAGAGAAGGGCAATGAAGCTGGTGAGGGGTCTGGAGCACAAGTCTGATGAGGAGCAGCTGAGGGAACTGGGGTTGTTCAGCCTGGAGAAGAGGAGGCTGAGGGGAGACCTTATCGCCCTCTACAGCTACCTGAAAGGAGGCTGTAGTGAGGTGGGGGTCGGCCTCTTCTCCCAGGTAACAAGCGATAGGACAAGAAGAAACTGTCTCAACTTGAGCCAGGACAGGTTTAGGTTAGACATTAGGAAAAATTCCTTCCCCAAAAGGGTTATCAGGCACTGGAACGGGCTGCCCAGGGAAGTGGTTGAGCCCCCATCCCTGGAGGGATTTAAAAGACGGGCAGATGAGGTGCTTAGGGACATGGTGCTTAGTGATAGAATGGCGGGGTTAGGTTGGACTTGATGATCTTAAAGGTCTTTTCCAACCTAAATGATTCTATGGTTCTATGATTCTATGCCTCGAGGGGGGAGAAAAAAAAAAAAGCCCAAACCCACCGCTGTAGCAACAGCTACAGCTATAAAGGGCAACACGGAATATTTTTGGTATTCAGAAGGGCAGGTGGCCCCTGTGAAGCCACCTATCAGCTGAGAAGCGCAAGCAGTCACTTGCAAGTGCGAAGTGTATGTAATGCAAAAAGCTGAGTGCCATGTTCCTTTGGGAAGTGTTAGTGACTACTCTCTCATCAGCGGGTTGCTAAGATGCTGAATTTCCTGGGAAATGGAGAAATGCACAGCTTTAAAATAAAGACAGCAGAGAACTCACAAATTGTGTCTTAGCTCCTTTATTACAGGGAAAACCTGCAGGGTACTAGTTTACTAAAAGAATAAAAGATGCAAGCAACTTTTCACAGAAAGGAGTCAATCCAAGACAAAAATTAGAAATCATAGCTTTTACAAATAATGAGGTCTGAGTTGGGACCTCTGGATGTTGTTTCCCATTGGAGTAGGTCCAAAGTTTGCAAGGTTCTTGATGGAAGTTTCTCTGTTAACAAGAAAAAAAAAAGGCAGATTAAGGGGCATGTTTCCTCCATGAATTATACAACATGCTAGGAAGCGTTTTCCCTAGATGCAGGACATGAAAAAGGCAAATTTTTAGCAATTGCTTCCCCCGTCATCCATACATGTGTTTCCTAACTATGATTCAGATCAGTAAAACCAAATTATGGTGAATTGTTTCCAGTACAAAATACCCTGTGGGGTGGGTTGGAATTGGCTGAGGATATTGGTTATCTGCATTAGATATGCCAGAAGGTCAATCCTAATTAAAAAAACAGAGGTAGAAACCTTTCTGTAATGTTCATTCCACATGTCTAAAGCAAAGCCCTTTATCTCTTATGATAAAGTAGGTGTGAGTTTGGCAGCTGCACCTCTACCTTTGCATTAGCTGAGGGCTTGAGCCCACATCTCAGCCCAAGCTACCCCCACCCCTCTCTGCAAGAAGCCGGTCTTTTTAGGACTTAGCCGCCTCTTCCCTGCTCATGCCCTGGGTAAGGGGTGAGCTCTGCACTCCCAACGGGAAGGTGGGGAGACCCTGTCCTAGCTCACTCCCTCAAGCACGGCCTCTTGCCACGCCAGGCTGGCACGGCACACCAGGCATGGGCACGGCATGGACCTTGCCAGGATCCATGGTGCATCCACGGGGGCGCGAGGGACAATGTCTCATGCAGGACGTTACCTTCCTCCACTGTGTGGTGGTAGAAGCACCAGGGGAACCCAGGGGGATATGGCCTGAAGCAGCACCCCTGCTGTTCACACTCCTTAGCCGTGATGCCGGGGAAGCCGCAGTTTACCCTGGCGTGAAAGTTGTTGGGACAAACTTTCCTCACTGCATAAAGAAAAAACAAGGGAAGGAAGGAGACTGTTACTTTATGCTCCACTTACTCAGCGGTGTAATTCAAAAATAAAAGGCAGGCCACGAAGGTGAGGTCAGTGAGCAGATGTGACAGCCTTGATGACCTTGTCCACACCGATTTCAAGCAGCAGGTTCACCCAAACCCTTACCATGCCTGTTAGGGAAAACTAAATACCAAGGGGTGAGGAATTGCTGCTGTGCTCCAGGGGCCAGAGGGGACAAAATTTGCCCCTTGAAGTGCCTGTCAGGCAGCAACCCAGCTTTAACTCTCCTAGATCCAGCACCGGGGTCAAGCGCCGAACATGTCCCGTAATGGTAGCACAGGCACTAGGCTCAGACCAGGGTATATTCATGACCTGCCCCAGTGCTAACCCTGGAGCAGCTGGCTAATGTGAGGAGAGGAAACCCCAGCCTCCTCTGCATGCCAGCTTGAGTTATGGAAAGAAGGTAGGGCATCTGGGAGGAAACCACAGCTCAGCTCACCCAGGCAATAAAAAGTAAAATCACAGATAAAGAGGTTATACCACCTGGCCTGACTAATTCAGTTTTCCTGTCCTGAAACAGTTCTGCTCAGAAAAGCAATTCTATGAAAGTGACACCGTAAGCTGCTGCCATTTGTTCTTCAAGATTTTAATGAACAGCAAACAGTGCTCAAAAGCAAAATTATTTTTTCCCTCTGACAACTCTGAGCCCCATCGAGCAACCTTGATTCGTATCAACTTCTTTCATTGGGTAACGTTGCCTTTGCGCCCTCACTTCTTTTCATTTCACCTGTGCAACTGCTGAGATTGCTCTGAAGGTCTCCTAAGGAGGAGCCGCGCAGTCAGCCCAGCAAATGTAGCTTAGCTTACAGTCAGCAGCAGATGTAGCTTACGGTCTGCGGTTACGTACAACACACACCCAGTCCTTGAAGGTCTGGGAGAGCAGCTCTTACCCTCGCTGAGAAAAGAAAGGCAAAAAACAGAAGCGGGAGTTTAGAAGCTTTAGAAGGAAGAATCTAATGGAGAAAAGGATTTCCTCTGGGATATCTAGTGGGATATTACTTTCGTTGCATGAAGACTGGGAGCAAAAATGGGAGAGAAAACAAGAACCAGCAAGCGGAATTATGCTGGGATACAGGACAGAAGTAGCAATTATCAAGACAGGCTGGAGAAAAGAGCAAAAAGCCTAGAAGTTAGGGCATGCCTGTTATCTTTTGTGCAGGTGTCAAACAATTACAGAGGGACTCATCCACTCAGGGCTTTCTGATTTCTTTGACGTGCAGTGCTGAAGTCCTCCGGAGCCACATAGAAAAGCCTTTTAAATAAGCGCTGAGGGTCCCTTGCTCCACTGATGAACAAGACCACAACCAGCAGTGAAATGTTTTTAAATAATCAGCATGGATTATTTGATAACTAAAGCCTGAAGGAAGAGGACATATCTTGTGTGAAAAGGATGAGATTGAAGACTGATGGGTAAGCAAGGTTTCACTTTGCATTTTACTACCAGTGCTCTTCTAATAGAGGCTTGTGCTCACTTTGTTGGCCTAAGAAGAAAAGCAGAGCTGCTCCCCGTTGTACGTATTTCATCACAATCAAGTACTAGGGAAATCGGTGTTGTTACCTTTCTTTTCTTTAGGAACGAAGCACCAGGGAACGCCGGGGACTGAAGAGTCGAAGCAGCACCCAGCTGTCCTGCACTCCGCTGCTGTGATTCCCGGGTAGCCGCAGTTCTGCCGCTCCCTGGACCCCAGTTTACATTGGCATCTTGCTGTTCAGGACAGAAGTAGCAGGTTACCGGGTATCAGCTTGCATGCTCCTTAGCGGAGGGGCATTTATCAGGAGCGCACCTTTTATGTCGCTTGCTAAGACCAGAATTTGTGCGGTTTAAAAGCTGCTTTTAAACTCCCACCGATTTCAGTAAGGGTTGTACTCCACCCTTTGAGAATCTGTGGTCTCACCTGCAGCTAAGCCAGCCCAGCACAGTAGGGGCTCTGGACTTCAAATAGACCGCTTCAAATGGTAAATCCCCACAACTTCAAATGTCACACTAGTAAAAGCTTGCTGCTTTGCCCATCCCATGTGAAGAAAGAAAGAGTTAAGGGTCCAGTGGATATTTGAACAGGTGTAAAAATATGAAATCTTTGCATTGTCATCAGGTGACTATAAAAACAGGATTACGTGCAAATAGTTGCCGCTATGCTTTTAACATTTTAAGTCTACCACAGTCAACCGCAACCAAGAAATTCTGGAGATGTCCCTAGGTGTCTGCCACTGATTTACTTGCTTTCCAGTTCTTATGTTGTCTAAATGACTTGCTTTTATTGACGAGACAGATAGACTTCTTGGAAATTGTATTCACGTGGCAAAGTAGCATAAAATGAATGTCAGAACACTACATAGACAAAGCTAGCTCCTGGTCCTGTTCTAGCGAGCGCCTGGACATGTCCGTCTCTCTACCTTGTAGCAGGTTCCTGGTTATTCCACCAACGCAAAAGCTCACCTGCAGTCTTTTTTATTTTGCCATAGAGTACTCTGAAAAAAATAAGTAGACTCCGACTTCGGTAATAGTACCAGGGCAAGACATTGGCTGTCAAATACGTACACTGGAGGCATGCTCTTGCTGCGGTCACGGTCAGGAGGATCAGGCCCACGTACCTACCTGCAAAGGCAACAGCAGACAGACGTACTTACTTGGTGCTGGATTTCCCTCTGCCAAGGTGCTGAGAGCTGCAACGAGGATGACAGAGAGCACACAGATCGCTTTGGGATCCATTGCTCCTGGAAGGCAGGCGGAGGAGAGGTGCCGCTCTCCCTTGGAGCAGCTCGTCTTATACGCTCCCCGTGTTTGCCCAGTGAGGTCTGATAACATTGTCCCAATCCAATGCTTTACCCAGAGGTTGGGTTTTCTTTTGTTTAATTAGGAAATGTTGGCATGCGTATTGTGATATCCCTGAGACAATTTTCTAGGCTGACGTGATCTATTCATCACGTATCTATTACGTACCGATAGATATATATCTATGACGTGATCTTATAATCTATTAATCGGATGCTGCTGGGTGCCTCTGGCAGCCCCAGCTGATTTCATTGCCATTAGAGTGTTTCCGACTTCTGGGCAGCTTTAAATGTTTGCCGCTACTGAAAAACATATATTTCCTATCCAGCTGTACCTTTTCTGCCTGCATTTTTCCCTGGCCTGAAGGTTTTTGTTATGATTTTATTGATTTATTGATATTACTCTGAACTGGGTAAGGCGGGAGGGCTGGAGGTGTGACACCTCTGAGCTTCAGGAGACCACAGGGCGAACCGTGCTGGGGAGCTGCGAACCGCTGCTGCAGACCTGAAGAAATATGTAAACAAAGAAAGTAGAAGGTATGACCGTGAAATACCGAGCCCAGCTGAGGCCGCTGTTTGTCTCCACACGTGAGGCAATTTACACCAGTTTGGAATAGGAAAAGAAGGTAAAATCAGGGGGAAAAAGAAAAAAACACAACCAAAAAACCAAGAGAGGCAACAGCATAAAGAGACTGGAGAGAGGAAAGGAGAGTTTATGTGTGATCTCAGCCTGACACACAGGCACTGTGCTCGTCCAGGGGTCAGACCAGATGATGTTTTGGACTTGAGGTCCTGCTCCAGGAGGAAGGTCAAGCTCCTGGGAGCCAACCCCTCCCAGCCTGTGGGCCCTGCCCCAGGGGGGCAGCAGCAGGGGCTGCCCTCACCCCCTCTGCCCGGTCCCCGGAGCAGAGTGCTGCTTCACAACCCGTCTAACACCACAGGCACGTGATTTGCCAAAATCAAACTTCCGAAGCACCATCTATTCATTTCCAAGATTGCTTTTCTCCTGGTTTCAAAGGTGGCCTCTAACGCAGCCTTTGGGCTGTGTCAGGACAACAGGCCTTGGCACTTGGACTGCCCAGTCAGGCTTTAGTCTCCCCTTTGGACCATTTTTTCTACCATTTACTGTAACATTTCCTAGATTCTAGCTACTTCCCAAGGCTTGATCACAAGCAGAGCTGTGCCAGGGAGGGGGAGACAAGCAGCGGGATGGTGGGACTAGCTCTGCACCCTCCCCAAAGGAGGCACCCACAGACTGGGCAGGGCCAGCTGCAGCCCCCGTGGTGCTCTGCAATGTCCCTTTTCCCATGGGAAAACAACCAGGGAGTTCTTCCTGTTCCTCACCAGAAAAGGGATTCAATGCATTTTTTTTGATCTTTGACAAAATTAAGTCTTAATGCCTTTGATTTTCATGTATGAGTTTGTTTTGTGCCTCTTTACTTGGCAAAGTTCAAAGCTTGCACTTTTAACTTCTATGGTTGTGTTTTGAAGGTGATTTTTTTTGTTGATATCGTTGATAAATATTCTGAACCCTGTAGAAAGGATCTTGGTCTACAAGGTGAAAAATAATAGAGCTCATTTTCCTGCTGTTTAATTTTTGTAATACTTTATTTATGCCCATCCCTGTTAAAGACATTGGTGGCACTTGTCATTGAAAGTCATGATTCGTAAACTAAACATTTTGTGTATGCTTTGTTTCACAAGATACCGAACTGCAGGCAGAAGAGGGCTATGTTCCAGAGCTCAGCAGTTCGTATCATGCCTTTTACCTCCATCCCTGGGAGAAAGCATCAGATTTAAAACTTAAAAATCCATTTTTCTCTTTATGTGCAACATAAATCTCCCAAATCTTCCAAATCTCCATCGTGATGCCTAGCCCAGGGAAGTTGTTAGCAATTTTTCCATCAGCTTTCTTTCTCCTGGTGCAGGGGGCGAGACTGGCTGTAATGTTGCCGGTGCACGAAAGGAACGTGGTGATCCCGAGGGGGGACGGCACTGCTTTCAGAGCTGCATAGCAGTTCTCAGCAGATTATCAGCTCGTGGCATGAGTCAGGTGAAACCGCTGATAACATTTGTCCCTCCTGCCTCTTACTGGACATTAATTAAGTCCTTATCTGCCAGCCCGTCACCTCTTGGGCCTGATCCCAACTGTCTGCACAAAGGCAAATCTACCACTGAGGTTTTGCTGCGGAAAGAGCATTTGATTGGCATCTTAAAACAAACACGCCGATATAAATAAGCTTCTTGCTTTCTGCCAGAGGATTACTTTAAGATCTTTAATATGTGTTATAGCAAAGCCTTGAAAATTATCTGGGGTTTCCCTGCAAATGTGTTTACTTCCCTGAGGCCAGCACCTAGCTAGACTTTTTGGTAACGCGGAGTAGGGTGCTCAGACTCAGCCAGCACCCATGGCCAGAAGTGGCTTGGAGGGCTCCTTCCTCCTCTCCAGCCTCCATGTCCATCCTCACCGCCCTCCTCCAGTCCCACAGGGCTTTTAGCTGAACTGTGGTGCTCTCATTTCCTTCCCAGCAAGGAAATGAGAAATCACCATGGCTGTTACGGACCTTCTTGCTGTGGGTGAATAACAGGCTGCAGCTTTGTATTCTGATATTGCAGAACTTGTAAAGGATGTGGGTATTATTTTCTTTTCCTTTTCACTTAAAAACAAAGAACCAGAAACCAACAGCACAAATTATTTTTTTGTCCTAAAGGGAGTTTTTTTGTCCTAAAGGGAATTTCCAAAAAAAAAATAAATTATTGGAGACAAAGGGAGGGGGAGTCTTCAGCAATTTTGCTCCTTCCAGCTGTGCAAGGGGGAGAGATTCAGAGCAGGAATAATCTGACAATACCACTCAGGTGAACCTCGCTACATGCCACTCATTCATTGCAATACTGTTTTCTGTGAGAGTGTTTCTAGAAACCATAGCAATGAGCAGCACTCTCCTCCTTATCGTTAGGTTTACTGTTTGCCTTGCTCCGACAGCCACCGGTGCCCTGCCATATCTCCCTTCCTCCATCCCATTTGCAGGTACACGGGAACTGGTGTGCGGAACAGGTCATTCAGGTGCCTGCTCTTCCCCACGGTATGGCCTGTAGGACCGCAATGTTTAAAGGGCGTGTTTTTCAGGATGTACTTTCCCTGGGGCCCATGAGACTGTGCCATGGGTCTGCTCTACCCTGACAAATTACAAGGGTGGTTTTGGCATCTGACCGCTGGAGGCAGAGGGCCATATCGCTACATGGGGTCCCTCTGATGGCCCTATTGAGGTGGAGAGCGGGGCTAGGAGCTGATATGACTTTGCCTGCAACAGCCTGGTGGGGTCTGGACAACACTCTGCGAAGGCCAAGCGACTGCCGGCACCTGGCCCTGCCCTGGTGCAAAGGGGATGGCAGGGACGCTGGCGAGGATAGGGACAGCAAGGAGCTGGGGGGCCCAAGGGCCCCATCCCTCCTGGGAACTGCATGCAGGGAGCTGCAGTCTGTGGGCTTTCTGCTATGCCTGCGCTCTGAGCTCATCCTCTCCCCCCGTGTTGAGAGGTCCCAGCCACTGGCTCCCACAGCGGGTGTGTGACCAGGACCTGGAGTTTATTTTTACAATAAGGAGGTGAGGCAATCCCTCCCTGCCCCACAGCTCATGGCAGCGGTGCCCAGGGGGGTGGGACCACGCACAGAGCAGGCACCGACACAACCCCCTGCGTGTGCGAGTACGCAGGGTCCCTGCAGAGCGGGCAGCGGCTGCAGGGGCTGGGCCCCCTATGCAGGGACGTTCATCTCAGTGGGCATCTCTGGGCTCTTCCAGCTACTGTCCTGCGGACCCTTCTGTTTTCACTAGGCACATTCCCACATGCCACTCGTCCTTGCGAGGCATTGCACAACAATGAGCTTGCTTGCTGCTCCTGTTAAAGCCTAGAGAAAATTAAATAAAGAAATTAGGGGGCTGGATTTGGAGCTGCAGGTTACTGCATGCAACAGGGATCAGAAATCATTCCAGTCTTCCCCCATCAACCTGGAGGTTGAAAAACTTGTAATCATAGAATCATAGAATGTTTTGGGTTGGAAGGGACCCCTAGAGGTCATCTAGTCCAACCCCCCCGCAGGAGCAGGGACACCGCTAACTAGATCAGGCTGCTCAGAGCCCCATCCAACCTGGCCTTGAATGTTTCCAGGGATGGAGAGGTCTCTGGGCAACCTGTTCCAGTGTTTTACCACCCTCATTGTAAAGAATTTCTTCCTTATATCCAGTCTAAACCTACCCTGTTTTAGTTTAAAACCATTACCCCTTGTCTTGTCACTGCTGGCCCTACTAAAAAGATTTTCCCCATCTTTCCTATAGGCCCCCTTTAGGTACTGAAAGGCCGCAATCAGGTCTCCCCGCAGCCTTCTCTTCTCCAGGCTGAACAACCCCAACTCCCTCAGCCTGTCCTCACAGGAGAGGTGCTCCAGCCCCCGGATCATTTTTGTGGCCCCTCCTCTGGACCCGCTCCAACACTTCCATGTCCTTCTTGTGTTGAGGGCTCCAGAGCTGGACACATAATAATAGAAACTTTAAGTGATGTTGTGGTCAACTCCTAATGTTCCTCTCTGTTCTGAGCCTGTACTCATTTATTTCTGTGCCAAACACATCTGGAAATGGGGTTTTGAAGAGGCTAGCAAGGTTGTTGGGATTGTGCAGGAGCATGCATTTGAACAGAAGCAAAAATACCAGGAAGAGGTTCCCAGTAAGATTTGCAGCTCAACTCCTGTAACAAGCATCGTGGTCTCAGATTTGTATTGGGCTTCCCTTGCAGAGGTTATTCTCTAGCCCACGTAGGAAATCCCAGTGGTTTTGTAAGCTTAAAGGTCAATATTCTGAGTGTGTGTGGGAGGTGCCTGTGTTATTTTTAGATATAGGTCTGTTGCAAAACATGCTCAAGAACTTTGTCTCCTACAAAGCAGGCG